ATATGCTAATAACATTAATAAGGTTATGACATAGACATATCTCATAAATAAGTGCAATTATTAATAGAAAGCATTTATTATGAAGCACCGGAATCAGGTATGTTTGATCTTTACCCCCACTCTGTCTATTGTGGTTATTTGGAGACTGTACACGTGTTCTATCATACCAAACTGGTCACCAAATTTAACGAGTGTTTTTACACTGTTGCCGGCATGAGCGTTGGCAAGCCTAAATAGTTTTGATTGTATACAGCGCCACTAGTGGCTGTTCCCAGGTCCATACGTCAAGGTCATCATCTTCATATTCAAAGTTTGAATGTTTGATATGCATTCTTACATCAATGTGGTCAAGTTAACATTAGAATCAAGTTACACACGAACATATAAAAGTAGAGCTTCCTTTTTACTGTCCCAATCCACATCCTTTTGCATAGGAGATATACTCGGCCAGTTAATGTCAAACTAAACAACACGACTGATTTTTATTTTCTTCAAGAAACCAGTGCACCCCTTTCTTCTTTTCCCATGATACCACATTGTCCCCGGGTGTTTTTATTCTTGTTTACCCTAAGAAAAAGTGTGTTACACTGTTCTTTGTGGTCGCCTGCTTCATTATCTCGCCGATTTGGATGGCTCTCCTGTTCACTTACTTGTATATGCGTCATCATATTGACTCCTTCAAGGTTCCGAAACAGTTGCAGAATAACCTAGGCTCTGATCCCGTAATTTCAATTGTACAACAAATCCTGGTATGAATAGGGCTTGCACACCCGAATTTGTAACCAAACAATGTCATTCCAACTGAGGAGCCAATCAGCGACAACCTTACTGTTAGATACAGTTTCGGTTTCAAATACTCAGCGAAAGTGTTATGTTCTTTGTGCAATTAGGTGTTTGTATGCAAAGGATTTTCCACACAAAACCGACGAATTCGGCGAATATTATTAGCGGTTCGCCTACTGTTGCCCAAACGAATCATTTGGCTCTGAAAGAATCTGAAAAAGTCTCTTATTTAGTTTCATGCAGTTTTTCAGGATGATGGCCTCCATATAGTAAATATCGACAAATTAATCACATTTATTTTAGTATCACTTGTACAAGGGGTGATCAATAAGTTATCAGCTTTCCTCATAAAACACTATTTTTCAACATAGTTTCCTCCAAGTTCAATTCACTTTGTCCATCGATGTTCGAGTTTTCCTATTCCCTGCTGGGAGAAGGTTTCATCTTGATCATTTAGATAGGCCTCAACAGCTTGGATGACGTCTCATCAGTCTCAAAACGATGATCACGCAAGTGGGACTCACAGCTAGAAGTATGACGGTGCCAGGCCAGGTGAGTAGAAAAGGTGAGGTAAGAGTTCAAAGCCACATGCGATTGCTGCCACCACGGACACCTGTGCTGTGTGGACTGGCGCATTGTCCCGGAGCAACAGCACACAAGCTCGAAGCTTTCCTCTCTATTTCTCTTTGATTGCTGCTTTAACTGTCACAGTTCTGAAGCATAGTACTCTCTATTGATTGTTTGACCCAATTTGCCAAGTAGTCAATCATGATGACTCCCTTGCTGTCCCAGAACACAGAGGCCATCTTGGGCGGCTGTGAACCCTTGTGTGTCCATTGTTTGCGCTGCTTTTTTAATTCTGGGTCAAAGTGTTGAACCCATGTCTCATCTTGGGTCACAAATCTCTTGAAGAAGTTGCCAGGATTTGACTGGAAACCGGCCAAAAGCGTCTTTGAAACTTCTAACCTGTTCAACTTCTGATTCAACATTCAGGGCATCCACTTTGCATACAGCTTGCTCATCCTCAAGATGTTTGACAAAACATTTTGAACTGCGCCATAACTGATGTCAAGTGAATGCCTGATATGTCGGGTAGTGCCACGCCTGTCATTCATTACCATCGACGGATGGCCTCAACCTGATTGTCCGTGGTGGCAAATTTTGGGTCATCTTTCGTGCTCTCCTCACCTCACTTAAAGTTAGCAACCCACTTCTTTACAGTGGAATAAGAAGGGGGAGTCCTCACCAAGTGTCGTGACCATGTCTTCGTGGATTTCTTTCGGAGTCATCCTCTTTTTATAGAGATAATTGATCACAGTGCGAGCTTCTGTCTGGTCCATTTTGTGATTTTCGTCTCACCTGCTGATTTTAAATGGGCACCACGTGCTAATTAATGTTCAGTCCTATCTCCCAAACCCACAAGTATAGTACACGTTCCTCTCTTAGAAATAATTTATGCATTACTAAATGGAAAACATCCATGGGCCAGAGGATGTTTCAGTATAGAGGGCAACCCTATAACTTACTATCCCATATCAGAAATTCAGCCTCATTAGGCATTTTAAAGAAAACTTTACAAAATATATCTTAAAATTTGTTGTAAATGGCTCAAGCCTATAGTGTATATATTGTGTATTTTGTTTCTACAGAGGGCCCAATGAAAATTACTTTATTGTATATTGGCCTACCCTCTTTATATAAAGTGTTAAATAAAAATAAATAAATACCTAAATTTGTATTTCTATGGGTAGTGAATTAAGACATTATAGTATAAAGTTATACCCAAGAATAGAAGTTCCGCTCCTTGTTTCATGGTGGGGCCTAGAACGCCAGCTAACTGTGAATTTCTCGGATTACCGTGTTTTGACATATAAATTGCCTGATTTGATATTAATTAGTTAATTTTGACTTTTTCCATCGATATGTTAAGTACTAATCACATCCAGTCACATTCAAATAAAGGTTGGCACATAGGTGCCGAGGATAATGCACAGACCTAATATAAATATATATATCAGATTTAAATTGAAATTGTGGTGCAGGTGCTCTGGAATAAAACAGACCAAACCACGGATATGCAATCAAATTTATTTATAAACTCCAATTATGTGGATCACAAATAATGATTCTGCATTCTGAACGTTGGTTGTACATTACTTTTTTCTGTGATCCAATTAAACATGCCCATCCCATTGCCAGAAACGACTGATTGCATCACAGCACATCCATACTCCTGGAATGCAGTTAGTAATAAAATTTGGAATAAAATACAGAACAGTGAATGTGAATTATCAATGCTTGATAACAGTGGAAACGCTTTATTAAATGTTGCCAGATATTGTCTGTCATGCTAATATTGGAGCAACAAATGGCATAGTCTAGTTATGGGTGTGGCAATTGTTATTATGGACATGCCCTCCTAACACCCATAAATGTTGATTGGTATAGTATATCAATATCTATGACAGCTGGCGTGGAATTACAAATTACATAGTATGCATATTAATTAGGTCATATGACGCAAAAGCAATTAAGTGCTGTTATGGTCTAGCACGCACTTCAGACAGCAGAGCTAAACAAGTATAGAAACAATCATGCTTTTAAAATGTTGCTGCCGGTGTGGTCATGGTTATTGTGATTTAAGAAAATGTAGTACAAATTGTGTGCATATAATGAAGTGAATTATTGAACTTATTTGTGTATAAACGATAGCTCATTATTTATTTATATACAATTACACTTTCAATATATTATATATAACGAAATTGTGATGTTATTATAAACAAATTCCAAATTATATATACATTCAAGTTTATCTTGAAAAAATATAAATAGATAATGAGTACATGAATAAAAAGGTTTCCACTTTGTACTGCTGAAATTTAAGTTAGTGAAATCAGAACTGACTATACAGGGAAGGATATCATGTAAAACAAAACGATCAATGATAAAATCAAATCACATGGCATGCTTTGATATAAGACAAATAATTGACATTTTAAACAACAAAACCTTATATACATATAACTAGCTATATCACTGTTACTACAACACAGCATTTTGAACTAGTGATATCATTGGCATGGAATGCTATACAGTGTAAATAATAAGTAAATGAAGCTCAAAGACTCGATTAGTGTCTAAATGTAGTTTTTGTTTCTGTCATCTTGAACAACTTTTAATCTAATAGAAATGTCTTGCATGTCATAGTACTAGTTAGAGACGAGGCAATCACTGCAGTTGAATACCTTGTTTTACACCAGTTTTAGTGATGGAGTCGCGATTCTCAAATTTTGAATTGAGCTGCAGTTGAATACCTTGTTTCAGACCAGTTTTAGTGATGGAGTCGCAAATCTCAAAATTTTAATTGAGCTGCACTCCCTTGCCATGTATTTGTTTTCGGATAGACAATAACATTACCAAAAGTTGTAGGTGTCTGAAAGGTGAAATAAATGTCATTACTTTGATAATATTTTATTAGAATCGTTATACGAGTTTTTGTCATTTTCACTTCTAGGACACCATACTACATTGTAGTAGAATTAATTATGCAACAATAAAAAAATTCAATATCTTGTAAATTCTTGTTTTTGCACAACACTTTGATGTGTAATATAGTACTTATATATAGAAACAAATCTGTGGAAACTATAGAAAAAGGAAGAATATAAAAGAATTTTATTTGATTTCTTTTCAACAATAAAATTGAATAATCATTATATCACTATCCTATTATAGGCTGGTGTATTCCAGATGTATCTGACAATTATTGGATCTCTTGTTGAGTTTAAGCATGTTTTTTTTGTTTCAAAGTGACAAATAGTGTTTTTTTCACTTGTTGGACACCATCACTATTGCTTAATGTTTTAATTGTTATGTTTATAAGTCCAAATAAAAATATATACAAACCTGTGTTGGCAAGGGAATGCAGATAACTTTTGTTATTGGACCTTACAGAAAACTAATCCCAGGACTAATATGAGATGCTCTCACTAAGAGAAATATGGCACATATACTTGTAGTTAGTTTGTATACAGGTCACGAGTTATAATATACATGCAGAAAGATACGGAAGTGGTTGATAATACGATGAGCAATGTACGCTCAAAACTATAAGATAAGATGATCAAAGGTGATGTTGGTTGCATGATTATCTAAACTGCTTTGTTTTTTTAAAGAGTAGGTGTGTTGTTTTTACAAATTGCAAACTGTGTACCTCAAGGACTACGATTTGTAGTAGATAATTTAAGGGTAGCAGGTTTTACATCACCTGTTTCTACGTCTCTGGCCTCGACTTTTATCTCTGTACCCCCAAACTCTAATCTTATTTCAATATCACGACCAAGACCTTTCGTAATATTTGGACTATCCACTACTATTTTTGTTCCCTCTTTGTACACACCCGGGTCATTAACGTACATTACATTTGATTTACTGGTTGTGTAGAATTCAAAAGCAACTTTTGATTGTGAAGTCTCCACTGGGCAAAAAGTGAAATTTCGTATTTCACCTAATCTTACTTCTTCGTTTACCGTGACTAATTTGGTGAACAAGTTGTTGCACATTATATCACCATTGGATGTTTTGAACATGTATTTTTCGTTATGTATTGCAGGGTTAAATTTTGCACATGTGCCACATCCATGAGTTTCCCTACAAATTCTACGCCGAATGACATCAGGCTTAAGCCCGAACATTACAGCTCCTTTCATAACAGACAAACCCGCGTTCTCGGGGATAAGAATACGAGCTCGATTTTCAAATTTCTTTCTAACCGCTAACTGTAACAAGGGGGATTCTGAAAACCCACCAACCAAAAATATATATTGTACACACTTAATAGTAGGCATCTCAAGTAACATGCTTATATGACTGACGATTGAATATATTGCCTCTTTAAACATGTTTTTCATTACTTCGGCCCCAATACAAAGGAAGTCTCTATTAATTTTAACATCTGATTTAGTGTATTGTTCCTTGATTAAATCTTGTATGCTCTTAGTTTTTTGTCTATGATGAGTGCAATAGAAATATATAAAATTACTTGGGAGACGAATCCTAGTTGTATTATTTTCCTTTTGCAATGGTCTATCAGATCTTTTCTTCCCCTCCAAGTCAATATTAATTTCTAACCAGTCAGAAGGATGTTTTGATTTAAAATCTTCAATAAATTCACCACCAAACACCTTAACGAGCAAACTTTCAAACTGTTTATCAACTTGTGTCCCACCCCAAGCCCCACCAGTTGCTTTGTGTATTTCTTCCACAGAATCATCATCATTGATGCGATGAACAGTAACATCAACAGTTCCACCTGTGAGTGTAAAATATGTATGATTTATTGATAGTGAAATTCATTCAAACATAGTACTGTTAATGGAGTCGCGGCAGTATTCAAAACACACACGAATGGGCATTTAAATTGTGCTTACCCCCGCAGTCAACAACCATATAACTTGTTTTCGGTTTTGCAATAACATCTGCACAACATGCCTCATTCTTTTCCTCCTCAACAAACTCTCGCATCTTGCGTTGGCGGCAATGTAAAGATGCCGCTTCTGGTTCTAAGGCAATAATAAGCTGATTTTCCTTGCTTTCAGGAACTAGGTCAGCCTGAAGTTGATATAATAGAATTAAAATAATGAATATAATGTATACCCAAATCAAACTCTGTGTAAATCAAATACATTAAACAGCGTCCAGATTAGGTTTGGGAAAGCCATTGCTGTAATATAGTTTAATTTTTGAAGTGGTGAATTCATTGACCTTTTTTTAAAATATAAAATTTACAAATGAAGAATTTGTTTTATTTTTTGGGGGACATTTTGAACATTACCAGTGATTTGCATTTTAAGAATATTTAATGTAAGTGCATAGTCTTGTCATCTTACTTTGATACACATATAATAGAAGGTATAGATAGATTGTCTATGTCCTGATGATATTGAATGTATGAAATAGATATAGCAAATATTTGAAATTCCTCAAAAAATGCTAGTATTAAAACTATACAATGTACCAATATCCTTAAGCCTTGCCAAATAGTTCATAGCAGTTCCGTTTGGATGTATCAGACATTCATCTTCGCAAACAACGGAACATGCAAATTACTTAATTAATATACACAGATGTTGTTCCGAAATCTAATTATTTCTACAGTTGATTATATAAATCATATGTGTATTTGCTTGCACTCCAATTCAGCCAGTGATAATCACGCACATACACGCATTACCTAATTATTTACTATAAATAAATGCATATGCTTGTAGAAAGAGGCAGACAGAGGATGTAATATTAATTTATCAGTACCTTATATGCTGCTTCTCTCATGAACTGCTTTGATACATGTCTCCATATTGCTGGTACTGTCAAGACCCATCTAATATCCGCAGACGTTATTTCAATTCCAGCTCTGTCTTTGATAACGTCGAGTGCTTTTTCTTTCAAAAAATTTATAGCAAAAGCAAATATGTCTATAGCATCCATCAATTGTCCATTTCTTGCTTTTAGTTTCAAACTTCCTCCAACTTCCTGTGAATAAAACATATCTCAGTTGGATGTCTCAGATTAAAATGATTATTGTGTTTTCAACTACCACAAAAATGTTCTTGTAGTGGGATAGTTTACTGTAAGGCAAAGTGTACCGACTAGACACTTTTTAATTAAAACTTAAATAATTAAACCAATTATGTTGTATAGTCAACCAGTCAAAACATGACAATCACAAATGCCGTTATTTCGTAATTA